AATTTGTCTACCTGACCTGGATTTTTCAGGTTGGGTTAGGTTGGATCGGGTTACAGGTTGACCTGACCTGATTCAGAGCTCTAGATTAGATATAATATTGTATCACTAAGTTATTATGTTTTGACCTTTCTAGCAATTCTTCTAATGATCAATTGACTAGATTAGGTATTAAAAGTAGAGATATATTCAGTTTTTTTATTATCTATATTAATATCTAAACTATAAGAATCTATAAAAAATTTATTGGTATGAGCTAGTCTATAATTAGTTAAAACTAATTTAAAAGAATTAGATTTCAAAACTAAACTACTAATTAATTATAAAGATTAGAAATATTATTTTTTTTAAAAAAATTGTTTTTGTAACAAAGTTTATTCACTAATTCCTCTCAATTAATCAAAGATGATTCATCATTATCCAGAAATTGATCAAGAAATAAAAGAGAAAACTTGTTAATAATGTATTAATTTTTAACTAAAGTATCTTGAGGTAAAATAGAATCTAAAGGAATTGAGCTGCCTTTAATCTCATTTCTAAGATAATTGTGAACATTAAACAAAATTTCTAGTCCATTTTATTTAAGAAGAATAAGTGTTGTACCAATAAGATTGTGAAAGGATTTGTTGTTGTAAGGTAAATTTCATTTTACTAAAGGTGAAATGTATAGTCTATTGTTTGATTGTAATCTAAATTTGAATTCTGCAATTCGATTTGATATTTGAATATTTGATTTGATTCAATCAAATTCAAATCAAAGAATGATTTATTTAATCAAATCCAAATTAATATTTGATTCAATTTGATCAAATTCAAATCAAGTATTCAAATATTTGATTTGATTTAAATCAATAATAAAGCTATCTCCAAAGCTTCAGGAGTGTCTCTTACTAAAAAATACTATAGTAAAAAGCACCTCTACAGCTTCTGGAATGCTTTTTATATTAAGAAAACTATAGCAAAAAGTGCTTTCACAGCTTCGGAAATGCCTTTTTTACTAAGAAAACCATAGTAAAAAGCATCTCTGCGGCTTTGGAAATACCTTTTTTACTAAGAAAAATATAGTAAAAAATGCCTCTATGGCTTTGAAAACATTATTTTACTTAAAAAAACATAGTAAAAAATGACTCTGCAGCTTTGAAAACGTTTTTTTACTAATAAAATTGTTACGAAGCCGAGATGGCAGTTATTACTAAGTTTTATTAGTAAAACTGAAGCTGTGATGGTAGTTATTACTAAGATTTCTTAGTAAACTGAAGCTTCAATGGCAGTTATTACTAAGTTTTCTTAGTAAACCAAAATTGCAATAGCAGTTATTACTAAGTTTTCTTAGTAAAACCGAAACTGCAGAGTTATTTTACTAAGTTTAATAGTAAAAATTTACCTGTTACTAAACTTACTTTGTAAAAGCTATTTTTGAAATTTTTTAGTGCAATTACTAATAATTTTCTTAATTAAAACTTTAGAATAACTTTATTTTAATATATTATTGTAAAAATTAAAAAAAATTTATATTCGATTTAATTCGATCAATTCAATTTAATTCAAATCGATCAAATTCAAATCAATTTAAATTGATTCAATCAAATATTTGAGTTCAATTCAATTCAGTTCGATTTGAAAAAATCAAATCAAATTCAAATTGCTTAAATATTTGATTTGATTCGATTTTGAGGAACCCTACTACTCATATTTAAGATTTTTTAAACAAAAGCAATTTTTTGGTTTCAATATAATTTATACTATTATATAGAATATAATTTATCAAATTGATTTTATTCAGATATTTTTATTTTACATATGAATAAGAGGTATATTATAAATATTTCAGAAAAAAACTTATTTTTGAGACGAATTTATTTTGCCGACAAACATTTCACTGACTATTATTTTACTGACAAATGTTTTATAAGCAAATTCGATTTGCTGACAACTATTTTACCGATAGTCATTTCTCCTAATATAATCATTTCGCTAACATATTCATTTCACTGATAAACATTTTATCAACAACCATTTTAATAATGATCATTTCATTAACATTAAAAAATGTTTTACTATCAGTATTATTTTATTGATACAAATTATTTGCTAAAGGTTATTTTTTTTATGAAATTATATATTATAAATTAATCATTAATAAAAATAAATAAATTAATAAAATAATATAACTTTATATTTTAAAGAGAAAATTTTTAATTATAACAAAAAAAAAGGAATTTTCAATTCAGTGATTATATGTTTATGTAAATAATATGTATTATTTAAGATAGAAATAGAAATTTATATTGCAAAATGCTAACTAATATTAATTAAAATTTTTCAAAAAAAAATTTTTTTGCTTTTATCCTTTTGTTATATGGAAGGTTTTCTAGGAAAATGGGGCTCTAAGCATTTTTTATTAAAATTTTAATTTTTATTGCATTTTAATGTTTGATAATGTTAGATTAAAATGCAATAAAAATTAAAATTTTAATAAAAAATACTCAGAGTCCTATTTTCCTAGTAAACCTCCCATATTATAAAAATAAAACATATTATTTCTTTTTATAATGTATATTTATGAAGTTGTTTATTTTATTCGTAATAAAGAAAAAATTAATATTTATGGTTATGTGATTATTAAAGATAAAAATAGAAATCATAAATATTATTGGTATTGTAAAAAGCGTGATATTTTAAAGTGCAATGGACAAGCAATCACTATATTTATTGAAGACTAATATTATTTTGTAAAAACTTTTGAACATAACCATGCTGTAGAAGCTAGTTGAGTCAAAGTTATTAAAAAATTAAAATATTAAAAGAAAGAGCTTAGCAAAGTAATGATTAACCTACGCAGATTATTTAAACTATTATATCAGATAGTATAAATGAAGTATATTCTTACCTTCTATCATATAATGCATTTCGTCAAACATTTAGGTAAGTATAACATATTGATATTCTTGTAGAACTACAATCTTTGAAAAGTATAATTATTCCTGAAGATATGAAAAAAACTTTAAATGGTGCTGGTTTTTTAGTTAAAGATTAATTGTTAATGATGAAAGAATGCTAATGTTTACAACTTTTGCTAATATTAATTGTTTAGCATAATCATCTATTTGGATTATGGATGGAATTTTCAAAACTGTTTCAATCATATTTTGCAATATATATAATTCATGGATGTATTGGAAGAAGTGAAAATTTAAGGATTATGTCTCTTGTTTTTGTTTTAATATTAAGCAAATCTGAAGAATGTTATAAAAGATTATTTCAAGATTTAGTTGATTTTAGTTATGAGCATAATATTGATTTACAACCACAATTTGTCTTAACTGATTTTGAAAAGTTGCAATTAATACAATTCATAAAGAATTCCAAATTCAAAATAAAGGATATCATTTTCATTTGTCTCAAAATATCTATTATAAAGTGCAGAATCTTGGCCTTACTATTCAATATGGAACTGATGAAAATTTTAGTTTAATAATTAGGCATATACCTGCACTTGCTTTTTTACATCCAGATATGAATTTAGAATTAATATGCCAGAAGAAGTAAATGATATTATGGATTGGTTTGAAATTTATTATGTTTGCGATAGACAACAAGAAGTGGAAATATTAGTTGGTCAGAACCAATGTTTCCTCCCTCTCTTTGGTCAGCTGTTGATAATATTGAATATGCATTTCCTAGAACCTAAAATTTTGTTGAAGCTTGGCATAGAAGATGGGAAACATTAGTGGGTCGTGCACATGTAGGTGTATTTAAAATTATTAAGGAAATACAAAAAGAACAAAACCAAGTTCAACTCAATATAGAATCAATTTTGCGAGGAGCACCACCACCTTTACAAAAAAGAAAAGACTGTGAGCATGAAGATCGAATTCAAAAAGTATAATGATCGTGAAAATAGGTCACTTATGGATTTTTTACAAGGAATTGCTCACAATCTTTCATTTTAAATAGTTTTAAATAGTTTGTAGTAAAGTCCAATCATTTTATATACTTTATTAATTTTACATAATTAATTGTTAATATGTTTATGGGTAACGGTAATTAATAAATAAATAAAATCAGAATCGAATGATCATTGAAAAATATAAAATATGGCATTTACTGTAAAGTTTTTAATTTTGAAATTTTTTTTGAAATAATCGTCGGTAAAATAATCGTCGGTAAAATGTTCAGTAAAATGAACATGTCGGCGAAATGATCATGTGACTGTCGGTAAAATGTTCAGTAAAATGAACATGTCGGCGAAATGATCATGTGACTGTCGGTAAAATGGTTGTTGGCGAAATGAACTTGTCTATGAAACGTTTGTCGATGAAATGAACCAGACCCCTTTTTCTCTTCTGATAATGGCAATAGCTTCTCTTACAACGGTACTTGAATGAATACAAAATAATTTGTCCAATTTGTCCTAGTAATATTTAAGCAAAAAAATATCATTACTTGAAATAAATTGATTAATTAAATTTTATTTTTTTTGGAAAAAAAGCAAGCAAGCAAGAAAAAGACTTCAATCTACGATTAGTACTTGCGTTTATATTTATCGATAACAGCAACTAATCCGCGATGCCTCGAAAACAAAAACATTTAGTTGATCGCATAGGTTTCAATTATGTAAACGTAAAAAAATTATGCTTTAAAAATAAGCAATATACTATAAAATTTATTCAAACTATATTTAGTTATTGAGCTAACCGTAAACAATTAGCATACAAAAAAAAAACGCCGTATCTTTATCATGTTCGATAATACTAAAGATTATGCAGTAAATATCTTGTATCACGTTATGATTTGTCGATCGAGTGTATTTTTTCAGTATGTGTTTTGCCAAAATGACGAAATGATCAACATGATCTAAATCTGACAACAAAAGCAACGTTTTATATAAATAGTCTTTGTTGTTTTATAGTTTTCTGTCAAAAATAAAAAATAAAAACTGCTCAATTTCATATCAAACAAAACAAAAAAATAACCTATTTATTACTGTAATCAAAAAGAAAATGGGTATTATTTCATATATTGTCGTCTCAACTGTTGGGGGTGTTGCCGCAATGGTAGGAGCTCCAGCGGCTCTGGCGATTTTAGGCTTTAGTGCGACTGGAGTCGTCGCAGGTTCTCTCGCAGCAGGTGCTCAAGGCTATATCGGTAGCGTTACTGCTGGAAGTCTTTTCGCCACCCTTACTTCAATGGCTATGGTTTAATAAAGGTATTTTGGAACCTACATCTTTGTTTCAGCGAATAAGTTCCAACATTAAATCTAATTTTCGGGCTAATTTCACTTTTATTTATTGAAAATAGACCATCGAAATCTCTCGGGGGTTTTTTTTATTTTTCTAAAAAATTTCTCCAAGTCAAATTTATAGTTTAAAGAAGTTTTCATATTTGTGTTTTTTTTGATGGCAAATGTATCATTTGTATAGAGCATTGACCAATAAAATGTTTCGAAACGACGCTTAGTCTCATCATCAAAACTATAATGAAATCCTGAAATTTTTTTTGAATGTTTAATTTAATAATAAAATTTGATTTTAAATAACTGTACATTTTTACATAGACGATTCTTGAATGTTTTTTTAACGTCTCTAAGACTTGTTTTGGAAATACATTCCAACATTTACCTTTAAAGGATTTTAAAACATATATAAATCCAAACATCTATAAAAATAATAAATATATTCTATGTTACGACTATTTATGCATTAGCAACTGCTCAAAGAAAAGCCTGGATTAATTATACGCAATATCTTTACAGGTTACATGTTTCAGAAATTCAAATTAATGATTTTAATCTCAGGGCCGAATGTTATAAAGGTGAGAATTATTTTATTATTATTATTATTATTATTATTTTTCTCAATTGAGTAATAAAGAATGGAATATCTAAAGGAGCTTTTGAAATTGTTAACTTTGACAGAAATTGAAGTTCAGAGAAGACAAGCAAGCCTAATGAGTAATATAATTTGCTTTTTAAACTTGATTTTATTAAGTGAAGCAATTAATTTATAAATTTTGGTGAAGATGAAAATATTAAGGTAATTTTATGTTATTCTTTTTTTTTTTTTCTACTTGATTTTTTTATGATTGCTAAATTTAATGTTAATAATCAGTTATAAGGTCATTACCATTTTTTTAAGTGACCTTGGTCATTTGACTTGAAATTTATAATAGAAATGATATGATTTGACGTCATTTCAAGGTATTTCAAAGTCATTGCCAACGCTTTCACGAATAGTAGCTGATTAACACTTCGTCGTAGGTAAATCTTACGAGTGATAATTTTAGACCTCCGTAGTTTCCTGAATTATTTAGGTTATCGTATCGTATCATCTATCCCTAGTTAGTACTTTTCGTCGAAGTTTCTTTAAGCTTTAGAGGTTGTCTAATCGATCCGGCGGTCTTTAGCGATCTGGGACCGAACGAGTTCTTTAAGATGATTTTTATTTAGACCGATCTTTAGACTGGTCTTAGGATCGATTTGAACTCAATATTAATAATTTAGCAAGTAGCATTGCATTCATTACAAAAAAAAAAAAATTTCAATATCTTGGAAAAACCTTAAAAAGCTTCAAAACTTGAAAGGAAATTCTCAAATAGATTTTATGGCAGCTTGTTATTATTTTTTAATATTTATTGTTAATTTGTTAATTAAATTTAATAAAGTATTTTAAAAGCACAACTGAGGCTGTATTTCTATTTTTGATCTTCCGCCTTGAACTTAATTATAATGATATGTTATTGTTTCTATATATATGTGTAACATTTATTCCTTTATTTAGATTCCTTTCGCGTCCAAAAAAAAACTTACTTTCACTACTAATGAATTTATATTACAATGAATCGTTGAAAAATGCTGCTGAAACAAACCTTTCTCTTTATAAAAACATGATGATAACGTTTTTGTACAACAATTTGCTTAATCAACTATTAAATTAAAGGTTGCTAATAATACGTACGTTCCCATATGGGAGCTTGTCAGGAAATCTAAAAAAAATTAAAATTTTACTTCATATGCTAAATATGATTTTTTTAGTAAAATAAGTCCAGATTTAACTTTAACATAAAACATTTTTTTTAGATTTCCCCTATTGAAAGCTACCATATATGGATTAAAATCAAGGTTTGATATTTTAATTTCGGCCAAGTTCTATAATGCCGGCCAAAAATTAGTGGTGAAATTTTATGGGGTACAAACCGTAATCATTAATTGACTAATTGACACGTGACGGACCGTTCCGGAGATCAGTCATATGATCGGATCGCGATCCTCCTATTTTTTGCATATCATAATTATTTATTTTTTTACTTACTTTTTTAAAGTTTTTGGTTGTTAAAATGCTACATGAAAATAAATCTCGCATTGGCAGTAGCGTTATTCATAATTATACGTGGATAATTCGCGATTTTACAAAGATAAAGGCTCTTGCACCAAAACCACAATGCTTTCATAGTCCACAATGGACTTGTAAAATTTGTATCTTTGACGATAATGGTTGTTCATATACTCCCTTAAATTGGAGATTAAAAGTTCACCCCAACGGGAACAGTGAAAGTTCACATAATAGCATAAGTTGCTATTTGGAAGCTATATTTCCAAGTGGCGCAGATTCTTCTTCACGCGCTAATGTAAATTTTTATATTGGATTTTATATTCCAGTACAACAGGGTGAAAAGAAAGTATTTAAACTTGTAAAACGTCGTAGGTAAGTTTGAATATAGATTCTTTCATTTATAGTTCTTAAAATTTTATTTTTATCCTTCTATATCATATTTCAAAGCGAACGGCATGATTTCTTAAAAGTGAAGCCTACTTGGGGTTGGCCAAACTTCTGCTCAAAGACCGTGTTAAATTATGAAACAGCAAATAATGTTAATAATTCAGAAGAGACAAAAATGTTATTGCCATTAGAGCTTCAAAAGAGTGGAAATTTAGTGGAAGATGATACGCTTGTTATTCATGTTGTAATAATTACAACGAATCCAGTTGGTATACTTGATAGTTTGGAAGATTCATTTTCAAAATTAACGTTGAGTTCTCAAGCTAATATGGTGACATTCCCACAAACTTTGGACCAACCGGATTTCAGTGATATCAAATTCTTGATTGAAGGAAAAATTATTAATGCTCATCAAGTTATATTGGCCGAAAGATCTCATTATTTCAAAACTTTAATTAAAAATGATTGGATGCTTGAGATTAAAAATTCAATCCCTGTTAAAATACATGATGTAGATTACAATACTTTTTATAACATTCTTCATTATTTGTATACGGGTACTTTAGCCGAAATCGAAGGATCAGATTTTGTGAAAATTTCCCAACTTCAAAAAATTTTTACCGATGCAGATATGCGTAAAACAATAGAGGTAGATGCGTTATACGATCTTGTTGACATTTTAATTTCTGAATTAATTTGTTTAATAAATACGAACACTTGGAATCATCTGCTTGCATTTGGATGGGAGCGAGATATTGTGAAGTTAAGAAAGGCGGTTTATAGATTCGCTAAAAAGAATTGGGATCAAGTTCGCGAAAGTGAAACTTTAAAAAATATTTTAAGGGATGCAAATGTTGATGTTACGGAAGAATTGTTTATATCTATCAATTCATAATATTGGTAATTTTTTTTCCTTTTAAACATTGTTGACAAATTATTTGGAATTATAATTATTTAATTAGAAATAAAATATTTAATTCGGAAATATAAATTTTATTCATAAGTTTATTTTTATGGAAAATAACTTTCAATATGTACTCCAAGTTCTTTAAAGAAATTCATCCAGGTTTGAATAAACATTTTCTTGAAAGTGCGATTTGAAGCTCTATTATATTCATAATTTGTAAAAGTTTCTTTAAATATTATCCACTCCTCTTTTAGAAAATCAATTAACTTATCGGCTCTTCTTTTCTCAAAAACGTTTATAAATATATTCCATTGTTTAAGTAACATTTCCATCATTTCATAATCAATTTGGCTATCATTTTCATGAACATGGATTTGCCTGTAAAACATTTTGGATTCGATCATTGACGATAGAGAATCATCAACCATTATTCTTTGTTCTTGTCGAGTGCATTCCATTAATTTCTTACGGTATTTCAAAAAGAAAGTTTCATCATGATATGAAATCTTTGCCAGCATCCAAGGATGTAATCCCCAAATTTTAGGCTCCAAAACTACAGAATCAACTTCTAGATAAGGTAATCTCGATTTTTCATCTATTACTGACAAAATGTAATCCAGTAAAGGTCCATACATGTCTGCCGGTACTAATGGTGCTTCCTCGTTCTTGTCAAGATATTTTTCACGAATCTCAAGTGTAATTATGTAAGCATGAAAAAGGATTTCCTGAAGGAAATTAATACATTATTTTCTCTGATCAATATTTACAGTAAATCCAAAACTAAACCTAACTTCATACCAAATTTTGCGGTGACTTGTTAATATAATCTGAAAATTTTTTTATTATTAAATATTTATTGTATTGAAGTAATCCACCTTCATTGATATATCTTGAACAATCTCTAATAAGCAATTTTGCAGCTGCTCGATATGAAATAGTTTTTGGTAGCAACTTAAAAGAGTATTCCTCTTTTAATGATGACATAATGTCACCTTTAGCACATGTTGCACTTTTGAGTCGAGATAAGCCTTCTAATAATGTCATCTGAACTCCTGTTAATACATCAGCAATCATTGAAGATTTACTTCCCATTATGACATCCTAATTTAAAAGGGAAAATTATTAAATGAAACGGAATCATTCTTTTAAACTTGTTAATTACCTTAATGATGCTCTTTTTTTTGTCACTATCAAATAACAGATCATAAGTTTCTATAACATAAGCAAGCATATCAAGACTTAGATAAGGGTTATTTAATAATGTCCTATATAATAAGCGTTGACAGTTACAAATCTCATCTATTGAAGGTATATATTTTTCAAGATCAGCACAAGCTTCTTTCGTTTTTTTTATTTTCTCGACAAGTTCATTAAAGAGATACTCTTTATATATGGTATCATTCTCAAAATCAAATAAATAGAATTCTATTCCAGTTGCAAGTCTAATACAATATTGTACTTTTTCTTTGTCCCAAGTATCGACCGACATGGTTTTCGCTTCCGAAAATAAATTAACGAATTCAAAAATTTGATCTATAATTTCTATATCCATTCTAAAAAATCCACCAAGAAAATTTCTTTGTAGAACGCGTTACTTTTTTTTATTGCCAATAATCTCTGAGAAAATTGGGATCCCCTTAAGTATTGATGGGAATTACGTATGATTGGCTTGCTGTAATTTTTGTAAAGCTTTCTGTGATTGGTGAAATTTGTTGCTGATCATATAAAAAACTCGTGACCTATTTTTTGTCAAAAGCTTTAAAATGCAATATATTTAAATATTGAATATTAGAAGCTTATTTGCATTCAATTATATTAATTTTCATATCATTCTTATCAAAAAATGAATCTTTACTGTATTATAGCCATCCTTCCTTTTCTTTCATCATGTTTACATCCTTTCTGTGGCTTCCAATCATTTTTTCATTAGTTATTTTTTATTTACTTATACATAGGGATGTTAAACAGTCCCAAATGACTGTAAACAAATATTGAAATTACGAGTTATAGAAAAGTCTAATTGCTTATCTATAATAAGTAACCCTTGATAAATAATTGTAATAATAAATTTTATGAATAACTTATAAAAGAAATATGAACTTTGGAATCGACAATTAACATGGGACCGCCAAGGTGGTACCCGGTCCTTAGGACTGGATCCTAAGTTTCAAAAATTAAGATTCTGGGTTTTCGCATAAGTTTAATATATATTTTTAATTTATATTCAATTAACAAATAAAGTAAAATATAATGCCAGTAAAATAAAATTTTCTCTCTAGAATTGGCAAATTTATTGGGACTTTTAGGACTGTTTAATATCCCTATCTGATATACAAACTTTTTATTCACAGCTTTAGTAATAGCTTGGCCTTGAACAACACTTTAGGAAATGCCCTATCGAATAACACTTTAGGAGACACTCCGTCAAACCATATTTTGAAAAACACAACCTCAACATCTGTAATTCCATCTTGTTTTGAAGGATTAGAAAGCAGTGAAAGAAGTTTGTTTATTGTTATTTTTGAATTCAGCAAGTTATCTGTATTAATATTACTATATACTACATAATAGATTTTCAGAACGAAATTTGGTTCAAAATGCACATTGATTTGTCGAGAAGTAAGTATTTAATTTATTATTGCTTTACTATGATAATTCTTTTTAATAATCTATTATTTTAGAAGAAAATATCACCCCTTTGGAATACCTGGCCAACTTTCTAAGAAAAACATATCAAGAAGTAGGTTCAGATGAAGATCCATTACAGGAAGAGGATCAATCTGAAGAGGACAACAAAGTTTCTTTCTGCAAAGAATTTGACTTTTATATTACCAACGAATCATCATCAGAAGAGAACCCGCTGACAAATAATTTAACCTTAACCGCTCTTGCTAGTATGAATAATTTGAGCAAAATACGAAAGGCACTTGTAATCTGTGCATTAATTGATATTTCTTGTGCGACATCATCTCAGTTTCAGTAGCTTCATGTATATTCTCCCGGACATGTTATGTAGTTGTTAGATTTACATTTAGACGCATAATCTGAATTACAAATGTACTTACTGTATAAATAATTGTTAATTTGTATTAAAAAGATTAAATAAAATTCATGCATTGTTTTTTTCTATAAAAAAATATTCTATTACAATGAAAATTCAGAATATCACATGAAAAATTCCTGTAATTGTATTTATTTTTTATCTGTATCAATAAGACATTTGTCACATAATGTTGAATAATTCTCATCTTATACAAAATATTAGAGAACATGGCATCTGAGCTTAGATTGTTAATATCGCGCATTACTAAGCTGAGGTGTTACAATTATATTTCAGAAGATCAAGACCGGATACTAGAAGCATCTCTTAAAGTTTCAAGACAAAGAAAGTTATAGCATGAAAAAAAAATTTATATTATCGATTACCTGAAATGCGCAGTATAATATCGGTAAAATATTATGTGCAGTAAGTACGTCATCTTTATACTCCTTGATTTTGTGAGTCGTAAGACAAGGCATTATTAAAATGAAACAAAAATGGAAATTAATAATTAATTTACAGACCCTCAGATAAATGGTAAATTTTTATTATCCTGCGCAATTAATTACGTGTATGGTTAATTAATCACACATTAATCAGTTTTTGAAATAGGAATTAGTGGTACATGCATACAAATATTCTGATTTTTATTCTTTTTTTTGTGATTACAAATTAGAAGTAGGCTGTGAATTCAAATGCGATCTCCAGTTTTGCAAGAGATCTTAAAAATAAACGGTAAATTTTAAGATACAATATTACTCCATAAATATTAAATTACAGCATATCGATTTATCATAAAACTGTAATTCATTGAATTTTTTTTAAGCGCTAATTGTTAAATGAATCTCAGAGAGTTATTTGTAATTATTAGTCAGGATTTAGGCTGGTATAATTGCTTAGCTGAAAATGTAATTATGAAAATAAAGGATCCCAAAGCAGGATTGGCAAAAGATCTTGAAATAATCTTGAAATAACCTTAAATGACCTCAAATGATCTTATTATTATTATAAACTTTAAGTCAAATGACCTTTTAATTTGCCATCACTATCACAAAGAACCAAGCAATATAATTTTATTTCATCTAATTGAATCAGTTTAAATTCTCATTTTCACATGTAGTAATCATAAAATATAAAATAAACTTTTTTTCAGCACATTTATGCAAGATAACTATTGTTATCAAAAAAAAATCTAACATTATTATCTAAAAAATTCTGATTTTATCTATCAATAAGGTCACTTCTCAATAAAATATACTATGTCTAATCATATCTAGTTTAATATCATTTAATTTTTCAGGAAGCATGCCATTTTAGTTTTTTACCTGCTGTTTTTTATCATAATAGTCATGAGGATCATTGTCCAATAAAATCTCTACTCATATCGCAAAAATGACCAATGAGTTCTCTGCATATAAACGTCTATAGCAAAAGCTAGAGCTCAGACTAGTCATGTGATTTTGAGATTTTACAATGATTACATATACATAAGGCTAACTATTCAGAAAATATATCTTTCCATTTATTAAAAAAGGTGTAAATTTAATATTTTTCAGTCTTTTTTTTTTTTAAAAAATCTTTAATTTTTTGTAAATTATTCTTATTAAATAAAATGGAATATAACATTCATTTAAATAATAACAATGCAAATAAAAATATTTTGACTTTAGAAAAGATGAATAATACATTTTTTATTAAAAATTTAAGTTCTGATAGTAAAGAAAACATATCAGATAATTCAAATAATAAAGGTTATAATGATATGGGATGAGTGTTGCAAAAAGGGACCAAATTAAAATTTTTTTTAAAAAATTATTCCTATGTGAATTAGATGTAACTTTTGCTGTTTAATCCAGAATTTTAATTAATTTAAAAATTTTTTTTTACAATTTGGTAACTTTTCGCAGCACTCACCCCATATTAGCACTCTTAAAAAAATTTTTAATAAAATGCATTTAAGCAACTTTAAATTTGTGAAAAATCCTGATAATTTCGTTAAAGTTTATAAAGAAAGAAAATTAAAAGTAAAAGAATTTTTAAAAATAAAAAATGCTTATTTAGTTTCAATTATTATGAGAAAATAGACTTTAACTAATTTCTTATACATTGAATGGATTTTTCTAGTTTAAATAAGAATATGCATGATATGATTCTTAAAGGACAACTTTTAGCTTTTTAATAAAATAAAAAAAATAATTGCTAATAATAGAAAATTTTTACATTTTAAATATTATTTTAATAATAGTTTTCTAATTTGTCATATTACATATCAGAATCATACTAGTATTAGTTATACATATTTAAATACTATAATAAAATATTTTTAAGAATATAATCTTAAAGAATGTATATATGATAATATAAAAAGATCTCTAAAAAAATGAAATGTATTGATGTAAATTACAGTGTAACCTATAAAATTATAATTTTTTAAAAAATTAATGCAGATATATATAATTTATCTTCATTTGAGCAGAACTTTAAAAAAATATATATATTAATCATATTTCTTTTAATAAGTTATAGTTATGCATCAGTATTAGTGATACTTGACTAAACTCTTTTTTGAAAAATTGTAATTTCATCAAAAGTTTCGTCTCTTTAATATTTTTATATGAATAAATATAAAATTATTATATTTTTTAATGTATTTTAATTCAAGGAATTTAGATCAAGTTAAATATAATTTCAGCAATTAAGTAAAATAATTTTGTTATTGATAAAAAACTAGTTTCGTCATTTCAGTTTCATCAATTTTGTTATATTAAGAAAGATAATTTTGTCAGGTATTACTAATCAGTATACTGTAATTATGTATAAGCTTATAAGGATGAATATAAAGAAGGGATGCATATTCTTTGTGAAATAACTTTTTATAATATTTGAAAAGTTTTAATTCTATCACTTTAATTCATATTACCAAAGTCTGATTTATGTGAAAAATGCAAAACAATGAAATTAAATATTCAATATACTATGAAACATAAAAAAATTGGCAGTTACTAAATAATATTTGGTTCATTTAAATCAGGCAAAACAAAAACATAAATATTATAATGCAAATATAAAATAAGCAGTTGATGAAAGAAGGAAAAGCAAAAATGTTGTTAAAAAAATTAAGAAGCTCAGACAAAAGAGTTAAATTTTTTAAGCTAGAATATTCATGAAGTAGTTTATTTAGATGATCTTTAATAAAATTGATATTATTGATTATTTTTAAGAAGTAATAACACAATTCTAATAAAATTGGATCTCAAATATTATTCAAATCTTTAGAATGTAATGCTCACATTACTCACATTACATTTTATTGGATTCAAAATTCTTACTCCCCATAATAAGTAGAAGCTTTATTTATTAAAAGTTTTCAGAAAGTGTATTTATTTGAAGTTTGCAATATCAGAAACTTTTTATATACAGAACAGACTAATTATGTGATTGATAAAAAAAAAGTGCTTAATGAAAAACTAGAAAAAAGTGTAAATTATATAATAAGTTTAATTTAGCATACAATTAAAAAAATATAATTATGGAAAAAAAATTAGTTATTATATGTGATAATTGTGTAAGTCAAAATAAAAACAATTATTTTTTATTTTTTTATTCATAATTAATTGATTATAATTTATAAAAAGAAATTGTGTTGAATTTTATGATACCTGAGCATACAAAATTCAGTTATACCACGATTGCCTAAAAGTTAATTTTCCAAATATACCTTTTCCCAAAGTCATATTTTCTGAATGACAATTTCCCAAATTAGACTTTTTACCAAAATATCCAATATCCCAAATACCAATTTCCTGAAACCCAATTTTCTGAATTGTATAAAACATCCATTTTTTTGAACATTCAATTTCTTGAATTCTGATATCCTGAATAGCATAGTATATCAAATTCCAATATCCTGAATATCTATATTTCTGAATTTCTATATCTTAAATAGTCTTAAACGTTGTTCAAGTATGTAATTATCTATATATAAAATTTTTATTATAATCTATTTCTAAAAAGAGCTATAACTTATAACTTTTAATTATCTTATATAATTTGCTTTATTATTATAAATATTGGAAAATTATCTATTAAAATTATAGGAATTCAGGAAATTATCCATTTAGAATATTAGATTCAAAATATTGATTAATGAGAATGTGAAGTTGAGTATCAATCTATTAGGCAGAAAACATTTTTTATATAATGAGAAAATTTCTAAGAAATGGAGACCTATTTTATAAAAAATATCAAGTGATATGTTAAAAGTATAGCAAGGCAAATTAATTGGATTAATATAATATTAATTGAATACTAATATTATCTTAGCTATTAGCTATTTATCTCAAGATGAATCTTATTAATTGATCATTTTATGATTTATGGTAACTCGCTAGTATCTAAAATTATTCTAGAATTGTTGTAGAACTAGCAGAAAATTAGGATGATTTTTATGATATGATATATGTTATATAAAGCATTTCTGATTAATTTTAGTTTGATAAATACTTAATATGGTTGTTTGTAAAGCTTCAGCATTATTTTTCATTTTTAAATGAGTTTGTAAGTTTGTATAAACTTTTGTAACAGACTTGTATTTATGTTTAACTACATAATTGCAAAATTTATAGTATAATTTTTTAATTTTTAAATGAAAATGCATTTGAAAATTTGAATCTTTTGATAATCGTTTAGATGCTGCAACCATTTTGTAAAAAAAGATACAGATGATTGATTAAAATTTATTTCTTAATAGTAAATACAATAAAATACAATATAAGCTCACGTAAAATATGTAAAAAATGATAAAATTACCTCAAAAGTACAATGCATGTATTATGTGAAATTATAGTGTATACTATAAACCAATAATGTGCACTTAGAAGATTAGAAGCATCTTTGGAAGGTTTGAAAATACAATTTCATCATAAAGTTATAGATATGTATAT